CCCCAGGTCACGAGGCATGCGCGGAGCTGCTGCTGCAGTACAGCGAGTCGCGCACGCTGCGCGGCTGCCCGTTCTCGCCGCTGCATGCCGCCGTGTGAGTATGCTCGGCCGTCGCACGCCGCGGCTGGCGGCCGTGGCGTGCGGCCGCCGCCCGGCGGGCCGCGCACGCTGCGCCGCGGCGTACGGTGGCCGGCGGTGCGCCCCGGCGGCCGCCCGGATTCGGGCCGCGTCAGCCTGGGAGACGCTCCCCCCCCCCCCCCCCCCCCCCAGCGCCCGCCCGGGCCCGCCGGTGCCGCCCCCGGACGCTGGGGTGACCGAGATGGGGACGTGACCTTGTGTGGGCGGAGTAAACTTAGGAGGGAACCTGGAGTGTTCGCGTCTGGCGCGGGCTTTGGATTATTCCGGCGGCTCCCGAGTGGTTTGCTGCCGTCCGATTTATTGCCAACTCAGGGTTCAAGTATTGGGCGGGATATCGGGCTGCCAGTCAGCTATCTGGTGAGATTGGAGCCGTTTCATTTAATTCGGCGGACCAGAATGACCGCACGGACCACGTTTCATTAGCACTCGTGTATAAATTGAGTCCTCTATCCGGACCGTGTTTATCACGATAAATCATGCTCTTATTGTGGGTCAACAAAGCCCTATTGAGCGGTATGATAACTGAATACAGGTTTATTGCTAGTGGACAGTCTTATTGTTTTAACAACAGCATGGACAGGATTTATTTTAACATCAGCCTGATGGCATTAATTCGCCGCAGCCATCACGAACGAATGCGCAGCGTGGTTTTGGATGGTCGTGATGATGGCTTGCTAATGGTCGTGACTGACAGCAGAGCGTGCCTGTCAGCGGGGGTGGTTAGTATCCGGCTCTGATCCGGGATTTAGTGTAAAACGGGGTGATGATGCGTGTGTCGCTCTCCCTTTGCGGCAAGCCGCGATTCGACTCAGCAACGGAAAGTTAGGTATGGCCAGACGGCGATGATGATGCGTGTGTGTCGCTCTCCCTTTGCGGCAAGCCGCGATTCCGACTCACCCAACGGAAAAATTTAATATGGGCCAGGTTAGAGTAGTGATTCAAAATGGTCTAGGGGTTCCAAGGATAAGCTGTGCAGAACCCGCTGCGGAGCTTATGGCCTGCATTGGAGTCGTGACTAAGCATGGCTTCTTGTGGAGACTTGACCCCCACCATTTCAGTTCAGCGAACTTAAGAAACGGACAGTTTGTCCCTAAATATGTGAGCTTGTTGTAATGTCACGACACAGCTGCCCCGTGTCATTCTTGCTCGTTATGAGCTGTCGGCGCGGATTGCCAACGGCTGACACAGAAGAATCAGTGATCTCCCGGAGCGAGTTGTTAAATTAGCTTTGTAATCTTGGACTCAAGTTGGAGGTAAGAGAACTGATTTGGGGATGTAATTGTGTAGGGCATGCCACGGACAATAATGTCAACCAATACAGTTTCCGTTACAGGTAATAATTAATATATATATATATATATATGGTGTGTGTGTGTGTGTGTGTGTGTGTGGTGGTGTGTGTGGGGTGGGTGTGGTGTGTGTGGTGGTGTGTGTGTGTGTGGGTGTGTGTGTGTGTGTGTGTGGTGGTGTGTGGGTGTGGTTGTGGTGTGGTGTGTGGGTGTGTGTGTGTGTGTGGTGTGTGTGGTGTGTGTGGGTGTGTGTGTGTTGTGTGTGTGGGTGTGGTGGGTGTGTGTGTGTGGTGTGTGTGTGTGTGTGTGTGTGTGGTGGTGTGTGTGGGTGTGTGTGTGTGTGTGTGTTGGTGTTTGTGTGTGTGGTGTGTGGTGTGTGTGTGTGTGGGTGGGTGGTGTGTGTGTGTGTGTGTGTGTGTGTGTGTGTGTGTGTGTGTGTGTGGTGTGTGTGTGGTGTGTGTGTGGTGGTGGTGGTGTTGTGTGGTGTGTGGTGTGTGTGTGTGTGTGTTGTGTGTGTGTGTTGTGTGTGGTGTGTGTGGTGTTGTGTGTGTGTGTGTGTTGGTGTGTGGTGTGTGTGGTGTGTGTGTTATTATGCTTAAAAATCAAAAGGTAGGGTGAAACTGTTATAAAACTGTAGTGTTCTGGACGGGGGCAGCCCTCCAGACAACGCGTATTTGTGGGTGGTGGTGGAGACATTTAACTTTTTCCAAAATGAGGCAGGTCCCAATACAGCCTGATCGTCTCGTTGCAAAATGTAATTTTTTGCCAGCTGGACCGAACTGAATGACTTCTTTTGTATATATATATATATATATATATATATATATATATATATATATATCCGGGCGCACAGTGGTCTGATCCAGCGCCACGCATTCTCTTGGGGCATCGTCACCTGCCGTCTTGCCATGCACCCCGGACACGGCGGCCTCCCTGGCGTCACGTGACCACGGCGGTAACACGATGGCAGGCAGAGGCTCCGGGATGGGTCGACTCCAGTTGGGACGCTCAAGGGCTCCCAGTGCGACGGTCGGGCCGGGCCCGGCCGGCTCGCGCCCAACCGACGGTGGTCCTGTGGGCCCGAGCTTTCGGCCCACGGTGAGCCCTTCCTGTGGCGCCTGTAGCCCAGGGTGGTGCAGGGGCCCGACCAGCGGGGGCCACGGCGGCGTGTGGTCTAGCGATCAATGAAGGGTGATGGTGTGGTGTGGCTTTCGGGGTAGCCCTGCGGTGGAAGTGTCTAGATGTTTAGTGTGGACGCCGCCCATCTCTGACCCCCCCCCCCCCCCCTCCCTCTTTCGGCGGATGCCGGCGGTGGATGGCTGAGGGGAAAGGGGTGATGAAAACAGCACCTGAGGCTGATGGTGTGGCATAAGTAGATATGCTCTTTTAAATGCGGTTAGAGCCGTAACGGAAGCCTTGGGATGTTGTTCATTGATAACCAATTTCATACATTCTCTAAATATGTTACGCAAAAATAATATGCTGCCGTTCTCTGACATGAATAAGCGTACACCACAGGCAACGGTTCAGTTAGTGTCATCGGACTCGGAGCATTTGTTTCAGATAAGTGTGTAACCCGACTGACTGGCTCATGACCATTGTAGTCCTGAAACCATCACCAGGTTATGTAAGTCGAAGGGAGGGTTCTACCTTTGAAGGCCGTCATAAATACAGTCCGCAATAAATACTTGAGACCAGTTATTGCTGATTGTGACACGACGGAGGTGCACATGGTCATCCTAGGCATAAAAAACAGTTTATTTTGATGATGTGGCAAGCAAGCAAAAGCAAAACTGACGCAAGTTGTGAGACAGCATCATCTCAAGTGTTGTGGCTGGTATGAGTTACCTGACGACAAGCCGATCGGTCGGGTCCAGCAGATTTTCTACCCCCGTGGCGGCTCGGCTTTAGTGCTGTGGACGCCGAAAGAGGCTTTCTTATCTGCGGAGCCCCATGTCGCCGCCAGGTTTCCGCTAGATTGGAATGTTTTGATGAATGGATTTTCCTAAAAATATGATGTCAGCTCTCATACGTCCTCTGATGAAGTAGTTTCTAGTCGCAAGGTCGCCTGAGAAGAGCGAGCAAGAACTAAGAATTAGCTAGAGAACTTCTGAAGAACTAATGCGGCTGCAGGTGAATAAGATCAATGCAGACTGTGTTGCAATTTTTGTGTGTGTTCTGATGAACTAGTTTTCTTATGAGGAATTTCTTTAAAACAGGAATTACAATTTACAAGTCTGACCCTTTGACGAAGAACTTGAGAACACTGCCTATGTGGTGAGAACTGGACACCCGTAATCTAGTGATGTGCTTACACACTGCAGTCCAAAACAGCACAGTGCCTCATAGCTAAACTTCGAACTGAAGGTGACACTCTGCTTAACCAGTACTCTTTTATGCATGAATGTACCAAACCAAACGCTCGTTATTGATCAGAAAAGGTAGTTCGTGACAGGTCACCACCTTGCCTCACATGAATTTCCGTCGTCGCGACAGATCACCTGCTGTCGGAGTGGGGGGGGGGGGGGGGGAGCAGCCCGAGCTCCGCCCTTCTGCGAGCCATCTTAGGCCCTTGGTCACCCGCGGGGGGTATGCGCTTGGGTCGGCCCCAGCCGAGCTGGCCGATGGAAGCAGATCCAGCTGGGCGGCGGCGGCGGCCAGAGGCCGACAATGCCCAGCGGGAGGGCCGGAAATTGACCCTGTCACCGGCCGTAACCGGCCGACCGGCGCGCGCAATGAGCCGCCCGGTCACGCTCGCCCGGCCGTGACCCGCGCGGCGGCGGCGGCCCGGCCGCGCCGTCGGCGGGCGGCTGCACGGCTAGGGGTGAGGTGAGGCGCGCGGTCAGAGGAGCGGACGGTCCGTCCGCAACCCCGGCGCCATGCGCGCCTTCTGCCCAGGCAGGGTGCCTCGGGGGTCTTTAAGGCCGGGTTTAGTAAATACCATAAGCAAAAGCCGTGCTTGCGGTGCAACCCGTGTGTGTTGTGGCCCTGCTCTGTGTTGTTCTTCTCAAGCTACTGTTCAGGATGGACATGCCTTGTAGCATGTATCCTTGTCTTCACGTCTCCAACAAAAG